CAAAGGAAACAAATGTTATGTGGTGAAAGTCTGCCAAGTCCCCATTGCTTATTAGCTCATAGTATTCTGTAGGAGGAACCTAGCTCTATAACCTGATCTAGGATAACTCTGTGATGAACTCTCAGCTCTTCTGAAGATTCACATTTAAAGGATGTTGCTCTGTAGGGTCGAGGTTGAGCCATTGACTTGATGGGATTTCAGCTTTGAGTGCCCTGACATGTTGTACTGCACTAAACAGTTTCTTTAATTGTTGTTTTGCACTGGGGGATTACAGATTTTGCACTGAGTGGTCCTTATATTGCACTGAGTAGTTGATGTTATGCCACATGGTTTGTTCTTCCCCCCATCACATGGTCTTTCTTAAACTGACACACTTGTCAGACTCCTGAAATAACAATTGGTAGTTTCAGGGAGTTTTGGTGTTTAAGTTACATCAAGCTGAGCTTTGACAGCAGTGATCAGGGATGACAATTTCCACACAGTCCAGAACCACAGAGGTTAAAGTAAGAAATGTAGCTAAACACGTGCTTCCAAATAGACTGACTCGGAGATGCTGATCCAAGACTTGCTTCAAACCCAGTGATCACTTGATTTTTCTGTGATTCTGTGGTACAGCCAGACCTTGGCTGCTTATCGCCCTGACTTATATCCTGTTCAGACAATGTGCTGCGCCACCAGAGGCAATTTTTATAGAAGTCAGGAAGTTGCATAGCAAAGCAACTGGGCATTGACACAGAGTATTTGAGACTGCAGCCCCTGGTGATGCTAAAAACTGGGTTTTCTAGGTGTATGTGAAGAAGTTAGCACACAACCCCTGTCACCTGCAGTCTGTCCCTTTCCAAAGTGTCATAGTTGCTCAGCAATGTCAACAAACATGTATTTATACAGATTTAGTTACACAGACAAAAGTCTAAATATTACCTTCCTGGAGGAAAGATGATTCACCTGATTTGAAGTAGATAATTTAATCTGAAGAGCTAAATTTATCTTTCCTTTGCAGCTAGATGAAATTATTGATGGGAAGTGGAATTTTCTTTCCAATTCTCAATCACTCACGCTGCCTAAAATTGTTTACAGTATGATGTCTCAGAGGGTGAGTCTCTTCTGATGTAAATATGTTTTGACTGGCATTAACTCCTTAAGGCCAGGGAAGAAGCTCTGGAGAAGAAATGAAGTCGGGAGCAGGCCCTTGCTTTCCTCAAGAAACTGCTGCTTGTTTCTGTGCTGGTGTCTGTGGTCTGAGGTGATTCTGTTCTCACTTGGAGAGAAGCAAATATGGTGTGATTTCACTGGGGACATGTGAAATCAGTCTGGCTCCAGGGCTCTTCACCTCTGATGGTGCTCTGGCTTGTGAGATCCTGCTGGTCGTGTGGAGGGATTAAAGGAGGACACACTGGAGATGTTCTGGGCACTGTTTAGAAGGAACTCGAGGTTTTACCCAGGATGAACATTACCATGATTTGCTGTAGGAACCTTATCCTTCAGTCAGGAACCTTATCCTCCAGTTCTCTTGTTGGGGTAGTTATTTTAAAATGCTTTTCAAAGGCCTGTGCTTCAAAAAGCTCCTGTCCCTGTCCTGAGCAGTGGTGTCTGTGCAGACTCGCTCATCTCACAGGGTGAGATGAGGCTGGGGTGCAGAAAGAAGAGCCATCTGTTAATGGTGCTTGACACTCTTTGCTGGCCTCAAAACTTCCCAAACAAGTCAAATTTAGGAGATTGACACATTGTGGTACAATTCTACCTGGGTCTACATCATCCTGCCTGGTTACTTTGGTGTAGTACCTGGATGCTGAGCCATCATCCCAAAAATCTTCCTCTGTCAAAGCTGTGTGTGCCACTGAAGGCTGAATGACGACTCTCCTTTTCTCTATTCTTGCTGCTGCTGTACTTGGCACATGCTGAATGATTTATATTTTTGGCAAATTTTTAAAGCACGGGCAGATTTATATTTACAGCAGCATTGTGTTAAAGGAAAAAATTGTTAATTCTGGACAGATTAAGCTCATGGTGATGAACAGCCAGGAATTATCTAATTCAGAAAATAGGACCAAATGGGAAGGACAAGGTTTGAAGTCCCACATACCCCTTGCAACTGAATCCAGAGAAATACTGAAATATACCCTGGAGAGGACAGACCCTGTTCTTCCCCTCAAGGGCTGATTCCTGAGGGAGGAGAGCAGCTCTGTCTCCTCTGCACTGATCTGACCATGCACACAAGGGAGCAGCCAAAATCTCCAGCAGAGGATGTGTGGGAGACTTTGAATAAAAGGGTGGTTTCAGGGAATAAGAAACTTTTTACAAATGTCATGTGTGAAAGTTGCTGGCAAACTGAGACGAGCTCTCAGTGGGTTTGTGTCAGTGTTGCCTGGACTATCATGCACAGGGCAGACAAAGCTGGAATAAATACTAACTCCTTCTGTGTAAATGTGATACTGCTGTGATGTGCCAAAATGACAACATCTGATGTTTTCACTCGAAACAGACGCAGTGTTGTTAGGAAAGATTTCCTTCTACAGATGGGAAAACTCTCCCATTTCCAAATCCCATTCTTTTCTAACATAAGGATGAGGCCAGCACCAGTGGGGTTAGGAGCAGGGTTAGTAGTGCTGCAGCATAGGAATCTCCACCCAGAAAGCAGGTGAAAGATTTTGCTGTCAAAGTGAAGGAGCTCAGTACAATTTTTTAACAGCTGGCTCCTCCTGTAATGGAATCAGAAAATAAACTTCTCTTACAGTGGGATATGAGCCATGCCGATCTGCTGGATGACTCCATCCCGATGCCCCTGGGGATTTGAATGAACTGGGATTCAGCACTCTGGCTTTGGCTTGTGTCCAATGTTAACAGAGAAAAAGTATTCAGGGGCACCTCATGCAGAACCACCAAGTGAATTCTCCCTTTCTGCTTGCCAGTGTAAACCACAAATGCCACGTAAAACCAGCACAGGAGCAGGACTGTGCCCAGTTCCACTGGTCAGAGATTTTCTCAGTTGCATTTCTAGTGCACAGGAGTCTTGTGCCAGCACTGTGCTACACTGAGGGATTGTGACTGTGACCCCCCTGTACTGCTAATCCTGTAGGATTGGGGCAATTATCCTGGCTTTTTTTTTTTTTTTTTTTTTTTTTTTTTTTTTTTTTTTTCAACTGGATTCAAGGGGAAATTTGCATCCTTCCAAACACCACCCCCAACCGTGCCCCTCTAAACCTTTTGTTCACTGATGTGCTGACTATCCAGAGCTGGAATCAGCACCCCGTTTTCCCCTCAAACACTGCCTGTGAGCAGACAGCTGATGGTGAGAGTGAGAATCACTGAGGCAAAGTTGCCGTGGAGGGATGGAACAAGGCACTAGGACCTAGGAGGCGTCTCATCCACCCTGGCAGGAATTTCTTGCTTGGAGCTCAGACAACAAAGGCAGAGTGAGCCTGGTTTTCTTTCTCTGAGCATCTCCACCCTGCACGCTGAAAACCGGTGAGTAGAGATTTCCTGAGTGACTTGCATGCAGAAAAGTAACAGAAGGGAGGAATCTTTTCTTGGTGCTTTACAGCATCTGCAGTTCATTTTAAAATCAAAACCCCTGCATCCTCTGATTCATTCCCGAAGTTGCTTGGATGTTTCATTGTTCAGTGCATGACACCAGACTGAATCTGCCCCGGTGGCTTCGTGGGGGGAACGTTCCCAAGTCGGGGTTTCTGTGTGGAATGCCTGCATTGTCATCTGCCTCGCTGCAGCCCGGGGACAATGATTTTTTCTTTCATGGGTCACGCTGACATTGTAAAATACAGGGAAGGAGCTTCGTTCCGGCGAGTGTAAAGGGCGGGGATGAGATAGCAACAGCTTTTTCTGGATTTATACCTGGCTGCCAAGTGCTGTAAATCCCCTTTCAGCCCTGTGTTAACATGAGAGCCACATCCATGAGGTGCATGTGCCCGGTGCTGCCGGGGGAGCGGAAGGGTCCCTGTTGCAGGGTTGGGGGGCTCCTTCTCCTTTTGTGTCGGGGTTTGGTGCAGGAGAAAGGTTGTTCTCGAGCATAAACTAGAGACAGTGCAAAATTCCTGCTCGCTGGGTGTCAGCTCCAGCCTCGGCTTTGCAGTGCTGGAAGCCCCCGTGCTCAGAACAATGAAAGGTGAGGAGCAGGGGCGGCGTGTCCCTGGGGCACGGGCACTTCCAGCTATTAAATCACTTAGGGCTGGGAGCGGGGGGTGGAAATAGCCCCTTTATTTTCTCCTCCTCATTAAACGGGAGCAAAAATGCAATTCAGAGGAGGCTCGGGCTGAAAAGAGCTTACCGAAGCTGCGTTTCAATGACAGATTTTTCTTTGCAGTCATTTCTTCTTGGAGATGTAGGCTGGTCCTGGGAATTGATTGATGGGCTAGGAGGGGGCTGCGGATAGGGGGAAGGGTGGGCTGGATCTCACTGCTAACCCTTATTGAACAGGCTGTCACAAAGAAACTGCTTATTCCCCTGTGACCATTCTTTCATAAATGCCAGTTTATTCTAATGTTAAACATTCAGATGCTCTGGGTCCTTCCGTGATTTGACAGATTGAAGGGCTGACTTACTGGGATCTCCTTGTTTTCTGTTGCCAAAGGAAACCTCACAGGGCTCAGAGGTTTAATTCATTGCCAACTGGTGTTTGGATGAGTTTTTTGGGGGCTGAGTTGTGATTGCCATGTATCCCTTTGGCCCCAAGTCCCGATCTGCTGCACTTTGAGAACTCCCAGGTGCAGGAGCAGGCAGCTCTCTGGAAACGTGTTCCCTGCCCCCAGTAGTTGGATCCCTTTCAAAATGCGAGGACCCCTCCTACTCTCAGTCCCCAGAATCGATACAAATCTGGGTCAGGGGAGGGGGCGCTTCCCAAATGCATCTGTCCTGCTCCAGACACAGCCTTAGTGTCGTTTTGCTCTCCGGATTGTGGCTCTGCCGGGCTCTAACCCGACCCTTTGCCCTCCTTCTCTCCCCGTCTCCTTCCTGCCCAGCTTCAGATCTTTAGGGTCCACCAAACTATGGAACTTGATTTTGGACACTTTGACGAAAGAGACAAGGCGTCCAGAAACATGCGAGGCACACGGATGAACGGCTTGCCCAGCCCCACTCACAGCGCTCACTGTAGCTTCTACAGAACCCGGACCTTACAGGCGCTCAGTAACGAGAAGAAAGCCAAGAAGGTGCGTTTCTATCGCAACGGGGACCGCTACTTCAAGGGGATTGTATACGCCGTGTCCTCCGACCGCTTCCGAAGTTTTGATGCCCTCCTGGCGGACCTGACCCGCTCCCTGTCCGACAACATCAACCTGCCCCAGGGCGTGCGCTACATTTACACCATCGATGGCTCGCGGAAGATCGGCAGCATGGACGAGCTGGAGGAAGGTAACGAGCATCCTGTGCTGCAGGGAGGGGTGGCAGCCACTGGGGCTGCCCGGGAGGGCACCTTTCCCCGGCTCTGGGGGTGCTGAGCCCCGCTGTGCCCGGCCGGGATGGTGGCGGTGCGGGTGCCACCCCCGCCGTGTCCCCAGCGCCGTGCAGATGTGCGGCCGGAGGGGTGTGTCCGCCTCCTGGCCGTGTCCGTGTGTTCGGCTCCTGGCCGTGTGTCCGCCTCCTGGCCGTGTCCGTGTGTCCGCCTCCTGGCCGTGTGTCCGGCTCCTGGCTGTGTGTCCGGCTCGTGGCCGTGTCCGTGTGTCCGGCTCGTGGCCGTGTCCGTGCCTCGAGGGCTGCCTCAGGGTGTCCCCAGGGCTGTCCGGGCTGGGGTGAGCCCGGATGGGGTTCCCCGTGGGGTGGTGGGGATGACTGGAAAGGGAAGAGGGGCTGAGGTATTCCTGGAGGGCGAGATGGGGGTGGGGAGGGTTTGTGTGCCCTGTGTAGGGTTTTTGGGGTATGGCACACACCGTGTGTGTGCACAGGGGTGTGGGATGGGGTGGGGAGGGTTTGTGCGCCCTGTGTAGGGTTTTTGGGGTATGGCACACACGATGTGTGTGCACAGGGGGTGTGGTCAGGGTCGGGCGGGCACCTGGGGTCTGGAGAGGGGTGTTGGGGTGCGAGGGGTGTTTGGAGGGCGCGGGGGTCTCAGTGTTTGTGGAGCGTGTGCAGGGGTGTGTTGGGAGTTCACACTGCCTGATTAGAGAGGGGATTTAATGAGCGAGGCTTGTGAATAGAGAAGGGCGTTTTGGACAGGTTGCGCTTGGTGAAATTTGGGGTTTATGCGCGAGGAGGGTTCATTACAGGGAGCTGTGGGGGTTTCTTTGCGCAGGGGTTTGAGCTCAGGAGCTGTGGAGGTGGGCTGGGCTGTCTGTAAGGGGGTCTGTAAGGAGGTCTCTCAGAGACGTGCGCGCACAGGACACGGGGGTTCATGCCCTGACACCAGCGCGGTCCGTGCGGGGCTGAGTGCGGGAGCCTCGCTGGCTTGGGCAGCGGTAGCTGCGGTGGCTCCGGGCAGTGTGAGGAGCATCCCGGGGGTGCTCAGGGCAGGACCGAGCCTGTCCCCATGTCCCGAGGGGGTGTGGCTGAGCCTGCTCCTCTGTGTGTCACTGCGGGGTGAGGGATGAGCCAAAAATCAATGCTGCTCGGAAGGGGTGCCCTGGGGGAAGGTTTGCTCCCGCGGAGCCCAGCTGCCAGCCGTGCCCGAGCCTGGGGTGCTGCCCTGCTTTCCCGGCAGGCTCGGGACCGCCCTGGGATGGGATTGCAGGGATGGATGGCCAGTGCTGCCTCCCTGCCCGAGGCAGGACCGCGGGGCAGCTCTGCCGTGGCCAGAGTGGGATGGAAGCAGGGCACCCGCGGGCACGCTGCTTTCTCCTCCCCGAGCGATTCATTCTTTGTTCGGACCTGGAATATCCTGCTGCAGGAGGGGAGGTGCCTTCCCTTTTCCTTGGTGTTTTTCTCCAAGCAGACGTTCTGGCCAGTTTGGGAACTCCCAAAAATCCACGAGGCTTTTGCCTTTAGCGAAAGACAATGGATGGGAGTGCGGGAGGCACGACTGCAGGGACAGCCTCGGCTGCGAGTCATTGTGTGACCTTGACTAAAGCAGCTCTCCCTACAATTCCTTCTCTGTCAGGCAGGATGCTCATCTCCCCAAAATACATTGCAGGGACAAGGACGTGGAATAAATCTTGGTTTCCATAGAGGAGTTTTCCTGGGAAGAAATTGCTGCCTTTCAGAGCTGTGATGCTTCCTGGTGGAGTTATTCTCAGCCCATTTACAGCTGTCAAATGGAGGTGTGGCCTCCCTTAATTTTAGAGATTCTGCCATGTTTCATTCTGGTCTCTTAATATGGCCACAGCCTTTCTCTAATGGCAGCTCTTAGTCCTGCTTGCCCTAGGTTTTAAGCAAATCTTCAGAAATAACTTCAGCAGAAAATACAGTTCTTTATTCTCTTTTTACACTCTCCCTCCTCTTAGAGTGTTCCTGCTTTTTGTCAGTGAAGTTAAGAAAGCTTTAGTTGTTGCATCTCCTTCAAATGGGTTTTGCTGCAGGTAAGGAGGTACCTAGTTCATGAAAATAGATTTTTCTGGTTGAAGTACAGACAGGAGATGCTGGCATTTGGGTTCTGGCTTTGTTCTGCCAAAATGGCATCTGGAAACAGCACTGAAGAAGAGGCATGAAAACCAGAATGGGATTGTCTGTGTGGCTGTGTCCTCAGCAGAGCCTCATCTAGGAAAATAAAACCTGAGCAGAGTGAAGACAAAGGAATCCATTTCTGACCATACCAGAGTAGGTCTGCATGCTGCTATTGATCCCATATTTCTAGGGGTGACCTACACTTCTGTTGTAGAAAAGCAATTTACAACACTGTGGTTATAACCAGCCCTTGTGGTGAACTCTGCCCTCAGCTTGGGTGTTTGCATAGCTGGGTACAGAATACCTGTGTACCAAAATACAAAATACCTGCATGAAACCCAGAATTTGGGAGTAATTCTGCTGTGACACACAAGAACAGTGCACGCACAACCAGGGCATCTCTTATAAAGTGGATTTCTGCTTGGAGACTGAGGGTAACCAAACCAGTGCTTGCTGCTATAATGGGGCTAATTTATCATTGTAATTTCCAATAAACAAGTACAATCTAGGGAAAGTGATCAAAGAGGCTCATCTCAGTGGTTTGATGGCAAAAACTTGTGAATTACTGACAATATTTCACATCATGTTCTAAGCTTGATTATTTCTGATTGAAAAATGTCCTTACCTAGTGTACCCTGAGTGCAGTTCTGGAGGGTAGAGAACGATATTGTACAGCAGCAATATCTAGAGACAGACATTTCAGGTGAACAAAAACCATGTGGTGTGCAGCTAATTAACTAGGGCTTGGAATCACCCTTTTGTTCTCCAGACCCAGAGTTCTTCCCTGGCTCTCAAGGGTACTCCCATAATGAGAACAAGCGAAGTTTTTAATGCTCTTTCTTTTTTTCACATTCCTTCCATCTGTTGGGCTGAGCCTCTTGGTCCTTTCCTGTACTGCCCCCTAAGATCTCCCATTTTGGAAGCCCTCAGAGCTCTGTCACACAGGTGCCTTTTGCTGCCAGCTGAGTTCTCCCTCGCTGGTCACAGGCTGCTTTTCCCATTCTTTTCCAGGGAGCTGTCTCATCTCCCAATGACCTTCTCTCAAAATCTTCCCACCTGATCATTTTTCCTTCCCCTTTTCAGTCCTAGCAGCCACTTTCCATCACTGTAGTCATTGTCTCAATCCTGACTTCCTATTTTCAGCATTCAGCTTTAATATAAATAATAAGCTCTAATAAATAATAATAATAATAAATTAAATATAATAATAATAATAATCTTTAATATAACTAAATAATGCACCTGCTGATGTTGCTTAGGACTGTATTCCTCCTTAATCTCTGTGCTGGGCAGGATCCTGTTCCAGCTCATCCTTCCACTCATGTCCCACTGCCTTGGCTGGGTCAGGAGTGGATGTTGGCCCAAGGTGCTGCTATTTATCATGGCAGATGAATTTTTTGGAAAAGAGCACCAGGTGGGCTTTATTCCCCTTCATATAGAATTGGTTCCAGTGACCAGGGCTTTGGGAAGTTGATTTATGTAGCTGCATTTACTGCAGTGAGTCACTTGTAACTGATAATTCTGTGCCTTGTGCTGTGATCAAACTTGCATATGAAAGATGCTAAAATAATCATGTGCAATCCTTTCCAGCCTGTCTCACGATGATCATAGAGCAGCTTGCATTTCATCCAAGTTTCAGCTGAAATTTAGTTTCTCTGGTATCTGGACATGGTGGTTTGCTTCATGTTGAGCCTCTTCTTGAAGACTTGATGTGATGAGAAGTTGTCCCACCTCAGCTCTGATTATTTTTTGTCCTTGAATGGAGGGCTGGGTAGAGGTGGAAGCTGATGTTGTGCATTGACTTCAGCAGCAAAGATGGCTTAAGAAATGCTGCTCTTGGCCACTTGTTCCAGTCCCCATTGTCCCATAAATGAATTCTTTGTGGGACAAAAGGGTTTTTTCAGCCCTCTCCACAATTTTGCTGCTTTCCCATATTCAGCTTCTTGACATAATGAAATGGACAGTGAGGCACAGCCTGGGAGGGAAGGGAAGGCACATCCCAGGGTGGATTTCATGCCCTGTCCTGGGCTGCTTGTTTGAAATTTGCCCTTGTTTCAAATCAAACTCTAGAAAAAGCTGAGTAGGATTTATTTTGCTCAGTGTGGTTTTATTGCAAATGTTCTTGGGCTGTGCGAGATATTCCAGAAAGTGATTCCAAGCTTTTTGTATCCTGTCATGCCCTTGGGAATATTTTCCATAATCTCGTCCAGGAGTATTTAAAGTAATCATAGAAGGGGCTCCACCCTGGAACTGTGCAGAGTCTGGTGTGTGCTGGGACTGAGGGGTTTGTAGGAAACATCCTGGAATCTCCACCCAATGTGTGTGTTCCAGTTTGTCTGGAAAAGTGAAGTTCCTGTAGTTTCATACTGAAACCTTGGTAACCCGTGGAATTGTTTTCTGTGGGTGTTTGTTGGCCTGATAGCTCAGCTAATTACACCCTACATGACAAAATTTGTCCATGGGGCTCTGTTTTATTTGCTTGCTCACCCTCGCTAGGTGCAGCCAGGACTGGTGTGGTCCCAAAATTCTTTAGGGGCATCGTGTGGCTCTGAAGGTGATTTCTAACCAAGCATTTCTTCCACTTCTCCAGCAGAACAAGAGGTGCTTCTGTTCATGGAGGAGCCAAGGGAAGGGAGCTCTTCCAAGGTTCATTTTGCTATGCTGGAGTAGGTCTTTTTAACTGGAGTAGGTCCTTTTAACTCATGAAGCAGCAGCAAGTTCATGCATTTGAAACTCAAGGCCTCCTCCAACACCATGTGGAATGAACTCTGCAAGGTGTTAAGTCCACTTAATTCCTGCTGCAGCCCTGGTAAATTCCATGAAACACAAAAGCTGAGCACAGTAGCACATTCTCAACTTTGCAACTGCAGACCTAACAGCCAGAATAATTGACTGCTGCCCACAGAGACTGTTCCTGGAATAAATGTTAACACTTAGACATCCAAAATGGCCTCAATCCAGCTTTCCTGATTTTTCTCAAAAGACTTCTGCCCGCAGTTCATTACCCTTGGAAAGTTGCTGGTGCATGCTGAGGAAGGATAACTTTTCCTGAAAGCACAGCCTGTCATTTTTGGTATTGTCACAGGGAGCTGCTGTAAGAGGGTTGGAGGATTAGCACTCATCTGGAGCTTAGGGTTTTTCTAAGGAACCTTCTCCAAGGCAAACCTTATCTTTGCTGAGATCATCCCTTCTTTAGGAGCTGAATAATCTCCTTGTGCTCCCATCAAATCCGTAGCACTGGGATGTGTCATGCACTTGAAGCTGGAGTCATTCTGTGTGATGCAAGCCTGGCTTCAAATGGCAAATATGATGGTCATGGCAGCAGCTCTGAGGTCTGCAGGCAGCCCAGCCACTGCTGAGGGCAAGCAGGAGCAAGGAGGAAATGCCTTTGCTGGTTTGGTGGCACAATAAGAATTGTGACACGTCTGGAGCACCCTGGCATGGTGACACCCCTCATCCCCCTGTGGGCTCTGGCTCTGCTGTGTAAAAAGGGCATTGTGCTCTGAGCTGGCCCTGCACTGAACCAACACTGTCCTTGGCACCACGGTGGTTTTGTCAGGATGATGCTCCCCAGCCCCAGTGCACGAGTGTGTCTCTTTGGGGCTCCCTTTTTGGGGTTTCTTTGGAATTCATGACCTGGCTGTCCATTGTACCTTCTCATGGCTTGCAGGGGGATTTCTGCACAGCTGCTTGCTGGCTCGAGACATGCTCCTGAAAGTATTTGTGCACAGATTTTTGTGCTTAGGGCTGGGGAGCAATGTTCTTCTTGGAGCTGTTTCTTTTGCTCGTGACAAGATCTCACATCCTCTTCCCATCCCTTCTGTTATGCTGAGCACATCTTCTGCTATCACGCTGTGTCTGTCAGTCATAGTTCTGTGGCTGGCACAGTTGTACACCTTGACTTCTCATTATAGGCTTAGCACAGACAGATGTGGCACAGAAACCCACAGAGAACCCACTCCTCCCTCCATGGCAGCTCTATTCCTTGTAAGATTTCTCTTCTTTATCATCTCCTGGCCACATTGTGCAGTTAACAGCCGCAAAGTTCACAGGTCTTCAGCCCATGCTTGCTCAATCCTGCTACCACCATGGTAAGGTTTGGGTAAAACTCCACTGTGGGAGGTGAAATGCACTGTGGAAAGTGTGTTCCTGGCTGGCAAATGCATGTGCCTCAGTGAGGAGCTTGAATGATGATTTTGCTGCTATTTGAGGGTCACAAACTGAGTTAGGGAAGACATTAGTTGAAGTGGTTTTTAAATAAATTTAAAGCTTCAGGTCACATCTTTAGGTCAGGGAGGAAGGAAAGAAAAGCTCCTCTTCCCTGGAGCTGTGCTGCTGTGACTGCAGAAATGATGCTGAGAAGAGCTGCTGCTCTGAACTGCTCTTCTGGAGTGTCTCTCCAAGGAAATTTCTCACCACTTTTAGAATCGAGTACAGCACGGATTTTATTTGCTGGAGTTTGAGTTAAATGAGACAAAGGGAGAAAGGGCAGATTCCATTTTCCCCTTGTGAGTGTGAGCACAGCTCGAGAGGCCAGTGTGTGGATCTGCACAGCTGCCCAAGATCACACTTGTGGAACAAAGCCCGTAAGAGTTCTGCCTTCATGCCACTGTTGCCTTTGGTGTACAGAGGTGTAAATCCACAAACAGCTGTGCTGTGCAGTGAGCAGCTCAAAAGGACTCAGCTGGAACTGAGGGTAATGGTGCTGTACCAGACAGATCAATAATCTCTTCAGCTTGCTTTAAAATAATACAACTTGTTAATAGAAAATATGCTCCAGCACCTCAGGTGTCTACAGAACACAGTGCAAATGTGTACCTTCTTTCACTGTGAAAATAATGTAGATGAAGGTCAAATGCAGATGAAAGTCAAGCCTTGCCACACTTCAGTGGCTGCTAGTTTATTTCTGTTTTTCAGGTGGGGAAGCAGAGGTGGATGTGAGGTCAGGAGCTGGCACAGGGAAGCTGGGGCGACAGCAGCATTCAAATCACTTAGTGCTGCATTTAAACAGAGAAATCCCTTTTCTCAGAGGATAATGCACAGTTCTGCTGAGCACACTTAGGAGGGCTCTGCTGCCCGGGGATTATGGGCTTGGGAGGGCTCAGGTTCTTAGGATGGTTAATTCCTGGGAGCATTCCAGACTCCTTGCTGCCCTTCTCTGAGTCCTGAAACTGGAGAGAAGCCTGGGCCTGCTCTGCACCAGGTGTTACTTGGCTGAAGCAGATGAATAAACCACAACTTATCACTTATTAATCAGAAAGATCTGAAGTATTCAAAGCTTCTGGAAAATGATATCCCCAGAGGGAATTTTGTATAATGCGTGGTACTCTGGAGGGTATATTTGAGTTTTTATTGAGTCAGATTCACAAAATGTTGGGGATTAAGGAGCTCCAGCTATGGGCAGAGCTGCATGGTTGGTTTATTGAGGGGTGTTGCTGTCAGCAAATAGAGATTTTTGCTGTTTGGTCAGGCCAAAAGAACCTGCTGGTGGGATTGTTCTTAGTTTGGGATACACCGGCTGACAAAATGCCCAACTGAGTGTCCATCACAAACCTTGTCAGCTCTCTCCTGTATTTGTATTCCATCTTTAGAAGGGGAAACAGAATATCTGCTTCCTGTTGATCAAGGATTTTGGTAAATTTTATACAACTGATGGAGAACAGCTGCATCTCTTGGTGATGCAAACACCACAATTGGGCATTATGGTGGCAAACTGGGTACAAAGGTGGGGTTAAAATAAGGGAGAATCCTACATCTTTTCTATGGCTGCTTGTGACAACACACCCTGGTCAGTAATAGGGACAGAAATACACAGTAATAGGGACAGAAATACACCCTGGTCAGTAATAGGGACAGAAATACACTGTTAAAATCTGTTTGTTGTGTGTCTGTTGTGGTCTCACCATGGGTTCTGGTGCCTCCATCAGAAGTGCAGTTTAGTCAGCAGAAGGAGCTCCAGTATGAACTTTATCCTGGGCATGTTACATGCCTGGGCCATATGAAAATCAGTGGGATGTTTAGAAATCCATATTTTGCCAACTGGATGACAAATTCTGTCCTAGAGACCCCTGGGGGGGGGAAGCTAGACTTGGCTGTGGGATAAGCTTTTCAAAGATGTCTGAGCCTTGGCGTTTGCAGTCAGGGACAGACAAGGAAATGCAGCCAATCTGTTTTTGTAATGAAGGAGTTTCTTAGTTTCTTTTTTATTTTTTTTCTTAATTGTCTTTCAAAATAGTTAAATCTGTATTTTGATTTCAAATGTACTGTAGTACATAAAAAAAACCTTAATTCTGTAAGATCAGACAAAGAAAACACCAGAAGAGACTCTAAAATCCTACAGGTCATGCCTTCAGTTCCTATTAAAATTTTATCTAATGGCGAGACGAAAGCTTCTTCCTCCTGCAGTGAGTGACTTTTTTTCAGTGCAGCCTGAGTCATTTCAGACCAGACAGCTACATTCCCTTAGGGATACTGGTTTACAGTCTCATTCTAGTAATAACTCTCCCAGCATCCATCAGATTTGCAGGCCCAAAAGAAGCTCCTACAAATCCTTTAAGGTGCTTTTAAAACCTTGGATAGATAGGATCTTGTAAATTACAGACAAAGCCTGAAACTAATTTTGGGTGGGATAGGGAAGAGCTTTTTGGGAATTATTAAAAGGACCCTGTAACTCTTCTCTGCCGTGTCTAAATTTGGATTTAATGTATTTTTGGTTGGTATCAGACGTGTAAATCAAGGAGTGGTATTTGGTGCAGTGTTTAATTTCAGCTGCCACTAGGTCTGTTCCCTAATAAACCACTGATGCTCCAACAGTGCATATTTGTTATGCCTGCTAGATTTATCAAGGCTACTTTTAGTGGAGACTGTTCAGGACAAGATTTTGATTATTTTTCAGGCATGATGCAGAAGGCACTTTGTGGATCAGTGTTGATGTCCTCTTGGCAGGGAATGGCACACTGAAGTAGCACCTAGGTCTGTAAAGATAAAGGGAAAACTGGCAAATTTATAAAATAATTGAGGTGGTCAGATGAATTTCGTGTTCTGAAGCTCTTGGAAAGCTTGGCTGCATCTTCAAGTACCTAAATACCTTTATAACTCAACCTCTCTTAACCCCTGATTCATTATATGTATTTGCTGATGGCTGACATGCTTACTTTGTGGAAATATCAGCAATATTTAAAATAACCGTAAATATAGCATTAAAACAAGGCAGAATGTTTTAAGAACAAGCTGTCGTGGGAGTGCTAATGGAAACAATTATCCATGGTTTGCATGATTCACGGGGAAGAGCACAGAGCTGGTGCTTATGCAGAATCTCCTTTCTTCCTCAAGGGGAGAGTTACGTCTGCTCGTCCGACAACTTCTTCAAGAAGGTGGAGTACACCAAGAACGTCAACCCCAACTGGTCTGTCAACGTGAAGACCTCTGCCAACCAGAAAGCACCTCAGTCCCTGGCCAGCAGCAACAGTGCCCAGGCCAAGGAGAACAAGGATTTCGTGCGCCCCAAGCTGGTGACCATCATCCGCAGCGGGGTCAAGCCGCGCAAGGCCGTGCGCGTGCTCCTCAACAAGAAGACCGCCCACTCCTTTGAGCAGGTCCTCACTGACATCACTGAAGCTATCAAACTGGAGACAGGGGTGGTCAAAAAGCTGTACACCTTGGATGGGAAGCAGGTAGGAGGTTTTACAGATGTTACGTCTCTTTCTTCCTCTCGTTGTGCGGCTTTGCTGACTCAGAGCAATTCTTGAAGCCTAAAATTAAGCTGAGATGATTGCTGCCATCTGTTCCCTTAGAAGTATGGCTTCTCATGCCAGTGGTTAGGTTACTAAATTTTCCCTGATATTAATACCAAGTAAAGGATGTAGCCGTGGGTCTGGGTGGAACAGATGCTCGCCCTGCACGCCGGTGCGCGGTGCGTGTCTTCTGGGGCAGCTAAATAAATAACAGGGGGACTTGGGCTCACAGCCACCAGCTGATCTGGATCTGGACTCACTGGAAGAACTGTCCAGCTTTGGCTGCACTCAGTGAAAATGTGTTGCTTGACTTTCCTTGCCCTCTGGTGAAGGCTTGCTAAGATAAAGCGATTGATCCGAGCATGCTCTTCTGGCCAGCTCCAGAGTGAGCAGGGAAAGTATGGAACTGGAGAGCGTTTCCTTGACTAAATGCACGAGGGGGTAACGTGCAGAAAGAGGCAGAAATATTTACCAGGTCATCAAAATGTGCTTCATGTCTGCATGTTGCTGGAACTGAAGGAAACATCTGTCTCTTGTTAGCAGCTACACAGCAACGAGCCATTTCGTATTGCTGTATCTATGAAAAGCCTTAAAGGAATGTGGGGGATCATTTTTAGAGCTGGGAAGAGCTAGATTCTTCAAGGACGATTCTGAGCTTGATTTAACATTTCTGTTTATTGTAATTGAGGAATGGTGTTATTTTTGTCACTATTTTTCCTGCTCCAGATTCTGGAGTGAGGCAGCACACCTCTTGTGTGGGTTTGGATGCTGGCTATTCTTGGGATTGAAGGTTTTGCATTAAATTCTCCTGTCTCTGGAGAAAATTATTCAAGGACTGGCTCTGCCCAAGGAAATGCAGATTTTACAAATAAAAATGTTCATCCCAAATGCAGGCTCCTACAATGTCCTGCACAGTCCAGGAGTGTAGTGTAGTTCCTGGGAGAGCAGCATGTCACTCTGACCTGATAGTCTGGTGTCCCTGCCCATGGCAGGGATTGGAGCTAATAATCTTTAAGGTCCCTTCCAACCCAAACCATTCTGTGATTCTTGCTTTGTCCCATCCTGTGTCCTGCACATTAGTTACTGTCTGGTTCCAGCTTCAGATGCACAAAAAATCCCATCTGTCTGCCAAAGCTTTCCTTTGCACTTGTCTCAACACAGCACTTTTCCTTCCTCAGATGCACAGTTTGAACATGAGAGGGTGCCTGTCCATAGACACAGTAACCTGCTGGAAATGGGCAGTGATACCAGGACAGGTGCACTGGAAGCCTTGGGAGAGACCAGGGAAAGAGGAAGGAGATTCTCAAATGACCTGTGCTCCCTGAGGTGATCACACCTGGGCACAGGCCATGCCCTTTGGGTCACAGCAGCTTTGCAGAGGGCTCCATAGCTGGATCTGGCCTGAGAGCATCTCCCTGCTCATGCTGACACAGAGTCCTGCTGTTCTCCCAGCTGGGAAGGAGAATCTTAATCTGAACCTGTGAGTGGCCTCAGTTCTTTGAGAGCTGCTGGCTGTTTGGGGGTGAGATGTTGCTTTGGATGGTGCAGAAATAGGGATGCTCCATGAGCTTCCATCAGACTGCTCTCTTCTCCCCTTTTAGCTGTTTACGGCAGCAAGTGGTGATTCCCTTCCACCCCTGGCTGGAGACAAGACAGGATCAGCCCTGATACAATATTTCACTTGTTTCTCTGGCTTTTCAATTCACCATTTTATGAAATCAGATATTTGATTGCATGTTGGAGATGTTGCTGGGAGCTTCAGTGTGTGCAAATGTACACCCAGTAATGCAGTTATTGAAAACAGTGAGACTGTGGTTTGGCAGTAATTGGATGTTTGATATTTGTTTGCAGCACCAATTGCTGTTGAAGCTTCCTGAGGAGCAAACCTGGTTCACCAAGGCTTTGTTTTTAGTGGAAGGTTTCCTTCAATGCTTGTTCTTTACTACAGATGCATGTTCTTAGTGTGGAAGTCAGAGCTAGAAGCTTATGCTGGCTCTCAGGGTTTCCATGACATACTGCTCCATAAAATCTGACCTCCTGACATGACATTAGGGGGTTTTGCATGTCTGATGCTGACATTAGAAAGAGATTACTGCATGCGTGATTCTGACAAACAGCGCTTTATTTTCAGGAGGAAATATTCATGCAAAAATGCAAGCTGCTCAAAGCTGAAATACTGACGAGAATCCTGACAGTCTGTCTCTTTGAGTGCCATCAGAGGCACGTTGCTCCCTCTGTTGTGAAATGATAAAATTTACAAAAGGAACGTACAAAGGGAAATCATCCTTCCTCAGTCCACGAGCTGGAACTTAATGAGGGGAGATGATTATTTTATTTGTAGGCATTTCCATAGTGCTCATCAGTGCAGTAATCAAGATGCTTTAGAAGTACAGACAGTGGTGGCAGTGACAGGGTGGTGTGTGAATAATTACATTTCTGTGCGCTGCAGACCTGCTGCAGTTGGAGTGTGAAAGCAGCTAATTGAGAGCTGGTGAGCTGTGTTTGAATAAATGCAGCACTCGAAACAACAGTGGGGTTAGGTTATTTTAATGAAATTGTGTCTTTTTATGTCTTGGGTTGGCTGGAGAAATATGGCCCTTGAAGCTGCTAAATTAGCATCTTGTGTTTAAGTAGTTTATTTAACTTGCACATATTTCTAATGTCTGTACTCAGGCTCTTCCCTCCCTGGAGCAAAGCATTACCTCTTGATGCACACCCCTGAGCTCAAAAGGTTTTTCAAATAGTTGACCAAAAATGAGCATGACAGGGGATCACAACAGAGATTTAACTTTGGAACTTCCATGGCTGTACAGGAAATGGAGTGGGTAAGAGAATTCAGTGCATTAAACAGATGCTATAATGGGCCAAATTCAGGACTTGGTTCTGTGACTACAACTGCTGTAGTGTTGAGATGTGCAATACAGACAATTAAAATACACACATCCAGGATTTAATTTGGTCAGGCCTGTGGATCATGCTGGCAAACAGTTATTTTGGTAGATTCTTCCTCCTTTTTTAAACCCTTAGTTCTACCCAACGTCCCAAATAAGTCTGGATTCCTGGGAGCGCTGGCTGCTTCACAGACACACGACAACGACAGCTCCTGCCCCGCGTCGTTAACAAGCCAAATTAGCAAGCAGAGTTTCAGACCATGGATGGAGTGGCACTGGGGTGTTTTGAATGCAGCAGGCTGAGCTAGACTCTGCAAAGGTTGTGTGGATTTCCTGTCCTGCTCATGCTTGAGCTGCCTCCTCACCATGGTGCACAAAGGGTCGGTGCTCTCGGGGCAGAGGCTGCTCCACCCCTGGCAGCCCAGAGCTGCTGCTGGCAGCACCTTGCTTTGCAGGTGGGCTCAGCCTGCATTCCTTCTGCTTCTCAGTGACCTGTGAAAGCTGATGTTCTGTGCACCCTGAACTTCTCTTTCCCTGCCCTGTATTTTATTCCAAGGTCTGTGAGTTGTTCAGCCAAGTGTCTGAAGAGATGCAGCGACACAAATCAATCCTATTTTTTGGTTGTTGTCTGAGTTTGGTGATACTCTGAAATTCATCAGACATGTCCAGTTGTACTTTAGCATTAAGATATTCTTTTGTGGTGTGGAATTTCTTCTTTTTCTCCAGCTGTTTTATTGCCATGCCTTAATTATCTAAACACCCCATTGTGTGACCCAACAATTATCATCACCAGAAAATAAGCAGAATAGGTGTCGTTCAGAGCAGGGAGAGCTTGTATGCTTCAGCTGCACATAAATTGATATATTCTGGTCAACAAGCAGGGAACAGATTGTGGTTTTAGCCATGATAGCATCAGTGATCTCCTCTGGCCTTTGAAATCTTCAAACACGGGGAGAAGTCGCCCATGCTCTGCTCATTGGCTGTTCCCTTGCCCAGACACAGTGTTAGCTGTCTCATCAGATGAAATTACATCCATTTCCATATGTCAGGGCACTTGTGACTGCACTCCCAATAGAATTTCCAGTCTTAATAAAATGGTCCCCTCTAGCAGCCTTAGCTTTGATAAGGATATCAAGTGGCAGGTGATGAGGGGAGTTCATCCTGTGTTTGCAAAAGCTGATGCCAGTGCCCCGGGGGCCAGCCCACCTCTCCTGGCCAGGCAAGAAGTTGCCATTTCATTTTAGATTTCCTGCGCTAAAGGGCAGCAGCCACAGAGGGAGAAGCAGGATGACAAAGCTTACAGCAAATTTAACATTGGGACTTTGTGATCAGGTCAATAAATTAGTTGATAAAGCATCTCCTAAATACTGCACTAAGGCATCCCTACAAGTTACACTGGAGAAACCAAACTTTAGAGTTGCTGCACTGATTTTAAGCTGGTACTTGGGGAAAAAAGTAGTAAAAAATTAATCAATCAGGTGTTGATAACAGCAGTGGACCAAACTCTTCCAGGATAATGTAGATCTATTTATTGTGTTAATGAAATTGTGTCAGTGAGACATGGAACAAGGTTTGTGCTGAAATATAAAAATGCCTCCAACAGCTGTAATCTGTAATTGTTGCTCAGGAAGGAGGTGACACCTGTGTGCCTGTGCCCAGTAACACCTGCACTGCTGGAAGGTCAGAGGGAGCCTATTCCCTCCAGAGCCCTGGCAGGAGTTCACTCACAGCCTGAGGCACCAGGTTCAGGGTTACAAAGTGAGCAAATTGCTTTGTGTTCTTGCACACGTTGAGGAGGAGAAGAAGAAGAAGAACAACTCCTCCTTCTGAGTTGTTGGCTGCCCTTTAGGTTGCTGAAGAACTGCCCAGAACACACAGCTCCATGCACTGGTGTAAAGCTGGAATTCAGCCTCAAAGGCAATCAGAGGGAAGAGCAGGAGAGAGGTGCAGTGTGCTCTGTATCCCACCTTCTATAGAGCTCCTGCAGCAGCCAGTGCCAGGGGGAGTCCCACCTTTCCTGTGGTTGCGAGGGTCCCAGGACAAGAGAAG